AAAAAAAAAAAAAAGAAGAAAGAAAAAACTGTTAAAGGGACTACCAAGAAATCTTTTAGAAGTTTCTAAAGACGTTAATCTAATATTGCGTTACGAAGAAGATAAACGAGAAATACTTTTCTTGAACTATAACATTTATAATCGGTTTTTTGATATCACTCTTTTCGACTAATCGCGCTTATGTCACACGCCTCTCCATATCTTCTAGTGACCAATTAGGCAAAATTAACAAGAAGAACACAAGACAAAAAGAAAAAAAAAAGAACGATCTTTTCTGCGCACCAATACAAGATGAAGGCCTTCTTCCTTCGATTTTTACGACAGTTTCGACACGGAGAAATTTCAAAAATCTTCTTCTGAAGAGGACCGGGAACTTGGTTACCTGGTTGGCGTAGAACAGTGTACAAAACGAAGGAAGAATGGTAGTTAATTTAAAGAGAAAAAGAATTAAAAAATGAAAAAAAGATGGAAACACGAGATCTGTGCTTTTTGTATTTCGCAAATTCCGTGGCCTCTCGGAGGAGGCTTCTCGTTTTTGTATTTCGAAGCCTCGTGCCACCGAAGCAATATGGTTTCTTATTCTTTGTACGAATACAAAATATATATATATATATATATATATATATATATATATACTATCGACGAATAGTATACAAAATTAATGAATAATTTATTAAGTCTCTAGTCATAGTAACCGGCATGCGCAAGAGTGAACCAGAGTTTGAAAAGAAAAAAAAAAAAAAGGAAGATGAAAGAAAACGCAGAAGTTTGTGTAAATGGAGCAGTTCGTTGTTAATTTTGGTCTTTTCTTTGACTATTTTCGTTGATAGTTCTTGTCATCGTGAACAAGGATGCGAGTGCTGATTTTCAATCAGACTTGGTTGATCGAGTGCATAGGGGAACCGTGATAACATACACCGGATCGATTGTGACATCAGGAAACAACAGCGTGAGAAAGCAAGTGAAACAGGGAGTTAAATTCTTTTTTTTTTTTTTTTTTTTTCTGAAGTCGTAAGAGTATAAGGTGAATAAAAGTACTTGGAAAAAATGAAACGTGGCGTTTTGGTTATTTTTGTACCGCTCGTTTTCTTTTTCTTCGTCATTATCCCGACCTCTTGCGAATGATTTTTTTCTTTTTCACCGTTCTCTTTTTCTTTCTTTTCCTTTCTTTTTTTTTTTCTAATTTCTTGACGAGTAACCGAGGAATAGTTTTGGGTCCTATTTCAACGCGGAAATCGGCGATGTAAAACCGAAGAAGGAAAGAGAAAAGACGGAAAGACGTGCCAGCGGAAGTTAATTTTAGTAACTCCCTTTACGATGGACGACAAGAAGCCATCAGCAATACTGCCTTTTTCAAATTACAAGCAAATATAAAGTACGATATATATAAATATAATATATAATGCGTGTATATTGTGTATAAAAGAACACTTGAATAACGCGTAAGATACGCCGTTTAAGTGAACGAAACGCCAAGACATAGCCAAAGAACAAGAAAGGAGGAAAATGATGGCAGTTGATGGAGGAGGGAAGCGAGCTTTGCTAAGAGAAGATTGAAGAATAAAGGTATATACATTCGCCTGAAAACCTTGCGAGAAACCAAGAGGAAGTACATCTTCGTTGTTAAATGATAGATAGTTACAAAGATTTCAACACTTTTTATATAACGATAACAGCAACAACAACAACAACAACAACAATAATAAATTATTATCGACGGCTAGATTAGCTCTTATTTCAGTATCATCTTTCGTGAACAACCGTTTTTTAAGGGGCGTCGAGGTCGGCGTTTCTCGCGTTCTTCAAAACGCGGGGAAAGATAAAGTGAGTTCGGGGGAAGTTCGCTTTGTTCAAACGAGAAGAAAAAACAAGCGAACAACCGATTTTTCGTCCAGAAGGGATCCTTGCAACGCGTTTCGAGCTTCGTGGGTGCCACACACCCCCTCCCCCACCGTTCCCTGTCAATCGTCATCGTCATCAATACGATACGTCACGAGAAAGAATCGTTTTCACAAATTCAAGAAGAAGGAGAGACGAACGAGGAGACTGTGAAAGAAACCTTCGCCGTACGAAGAGGATTTTCATAAGAGAAGTTGGCGCATTCTTCGAGAATGGATGCAAGTACGAAAGATTTGAGTACGCGTCGAAGAGTGACAAGAGTCAGAATCGGAGGAAAAATTCGTGGACGAGAGATAGCTGTTCTTGAAACGGTTCTTTGAAAGTCGAACATTCCGGAGGCATTCGCGCTATCCATTAAGTAGCTAATCAAGTTTAGAAGAGAGAGAGAGAGAGAGCGAAAGAAAAAAAAAAAAGAAAAACAACCGTGCGACGTAGTGTGTTTTTCAGAAACTGCAGTTACGGAATACCGTCTGATGAATGTTTCTCATACACTTTAGCTATATCGCCATAGATGTATCCGTATACCGCCTGAGAAGATTTTTCAACATAGAAATAAACGAGAATTGCGCGTAGAAATCCAAAGGAGACGTGAGAAATCGCGAATCGACCAAAACAAAAAAATCGATTCGAAAGCGAAGCTGAGCGTGATTTCTATGCGAGACTGAAGTCCGTCAAAGACTCCTGTTATGATTCCTCTTTTGCATCCTTCTCTTTTCTTTTTCTCCTATCGTGCCGCGAAACGTAGTGAGGCATCTCTATATTCATCAAAAAAAAAAAAAAAAAAAAGAAAAAAAAAAAAAAAAAAAAAAAAATACAAAATACGTACCGCTGACATATACACAAGTACACACTGATACACATATATACATGTATTCACGATGCATTCTATTCATTCGACGATCTGTATATAAACGCGTGGAACACGTGCGTGTTCGAGAAATCGATCGCGAAATTTCTCGTGGAACGTGCATCAGCGAGAAACACTACTTCGACGATGGACGATCAATTGTTATAATTCATTATCGCGTCGCAAAGAAAAAAAAAAAAAAAAAAACTGATTCTCCGACCGTCGCAGAGGTGAAAAAGCCTCGGAATTTTCGCCTTGAGAAGTCAGTTGTGAGATAATTAGCGTGCTCGTTTCGAGCGAAGATATATTCGTTTCGATCTTTTTCGCCTGTGGACACGGTTGAACTGATGGGGATCGTCGTCAAATTTAATATTGGATTTGAAGTCGAATAATTTTTTCTACAACTTCATTCGAAAATCTCGTGACCGTGAGATTTTCCGCCGGAGCGACGCACGAAGAAGAAAGAAGAATATTCAATTTGAAGACGAGACAAATGAAAAAGAAAAAGAAACAGAAAAGATAACAATCGGAGGGCCAAGAAACAAGCATTACGCATCCTATTAGTCAGATCCATTTCTATTGATACTGTTGCGAATAGTCTTACATTGTTTATCTTTAAGATTTTAACACTGTTTACAAGATAACGTTTTTCATAATAATTGTTCTCGTATCTCTTTTGTAGACATTCTACGACGAAGTACACTTTGTACGATGATTTCGTTCGAGACCCTTGCGGGAGAGCAAGCGACTACTGTTTTTCAATCTCAGTTTCCCGATGCGAGGTTTTACCACGGGCTCACGTACACATGAGAATTGCGAATGAACAGGGCCAAAGAAATAGCTAAAAAAAAAAAACACGCAAACATATAATAGGAAGCATATAAGAGAAATTCGATCGTCTCGAATTTTCCTCCTTAATTTAGTACGAATTTCAAACGCTCGCGTGTATATTTCGCGCGGAGATGTACGTAGATTTTTACAATTCCACGTTTCTTTTCTTTTGTACAAATTGGTTGCTTCGCACAATGAAATGCCATCAGTTTTAACGGGATTATTCAGATTTCTCTTCCTCTTGACAATATATTTTATAAGCTTCGTTTCTGAGATCTGCGTGAAGAGAACGGATTTTTTCTTACCGACTCTCCGACACTCTCGTAACGTTCGAGAAGACGAGTCGTCCTTTCGAGAGTTTCACGATTTTTTATCTACTTCAGGCACATCGCGAGTCGTAGGCACGGCGTAATTATCCTTTTTCTGCTGTGGCCGATCGGATTTGCAATCACGTCGATCCATTCCCCCGTCAAACTTTGGTATACTGGTGACAACGATCGAAGGAGTTTTGCACCAACGAGGAGGCAATTTCAATATTTAAATATCGTATTTATTGAAAGGGAGAAGGGAAAGTGGAGTAAGTTAGAATTATTTGGGTCAGAAAGGTAGTTTGAGTTATTAATCATCGATCATTTATTGTAATTCATGAAATTTGCTTACGAACTATTTTTTTTCAGCGATCTGCGTTTGGCTCAAATAACTCTATCCTACTACGTAGGTGTTATTTTTTTTTTTAGTGAAATGCAGAATTTGAATGTGAGGTCTATATGAGTTTATATAACTAACTATATATAGTTTTTATAGATTTATATACCTACTCTATATAGCTTTCATATTCAAAAAGTGCAAACGACTTGATTTTGATTGATCTTGAATTGGCCGAGTTACTCGAAATATATGTAGAATTTTGTTCACACGAAATTGTCCGGGAATGAATTCTAAATAATCAGAGTTTATCGATCCTGCCCTCTGTCAGTGACTTTTTCCTTCACATAATGGGAGTTCAGGTTCAAATAAATTGATTGCGATCAGCAAAAGTTCGTTTGATTGGCTAATGACTAAAATTTAATTCGTAGCAAATGAAGTTTGCGCAAACGAGGTTTTGCTCTATTGAAAAGTTGAAGTTACCTTCTGATTGCAGCAGACCCTTTGATTCTCTGTTATTACATCATGAACATATATTTTGCATACACGCAGCGTTAGCCTGATTCGAAAGATTCATTTTTGCGCTATTTTTTGAAAGTTGAATTTCTTCAGTACAAAATATCTTGTTGAATCGTTTGAAATTTTGTGAGATGTTTGATTTATGATTATAAATACACTTACCGTTCTGTGATCAACAACGATCCAACGGGGCATGTCTTACATATCTTCGCGGGGCATTTATATTTTGATAAACGTTATTTCTGGAACATTTTCGTTGAACATTTCGCACGCAGTGACGCGAAAACATCAACGCACGATGACAATCCTCCTTAAGAGAAAACAAAAGTAACGATTGTAGTACAAAGGCGAGTGGTATTCACGAGAGCTTGAGAAAGAACGAGGAATTTTACGAATCGTTTGAATTATAGCAATTGGAAGTGATACGGTGACGTCGTAATAATTAAATTGCGAGAACACTGTCAAATTTTCAATTTTTTTACTGGATTTCTCATAATTTGGACGAGATGTAAAGTACGTAACAAAATCTGATTAAAAGTATATACACGGTAAAATAATTAAACTTATAAAAAGTTATTATTAAATTTCTCTTCTTTTATTTTATGTGGACTTATGAAATGAAAATAAACTACATTTCTTCCTTTTTGCTCATTTTGTGAATACAATCTGTTCTTTTTGAGACTCTTCGAAAAGTTAAGAAAGAAAGGACAAATTGACACGATTTAAAAAATGTCTCGCACTTTGTTTCTTATTACGTTAAAAAACGTCAGAAAAATGTAGAACAAGGTTAAACTATCGACGACGGTGGAAATCAGTTTCAAGGATTTCACTGTATCATTTCCATTTGCTGTATCATTTGTATTATGAAAACAGAGCGACGCGCGAAGAAGACTCGTCTGAAATTAGGGATCAAGAGAGAAGAATTAACGAGATTGACGTTATTTTTCTCGGACTAGAATACAAAGAAGACTGATTAACGTTCGAACGAGAGGAGTTCGAAATCTTTTCACCAGCTGTTCCTTCATCGCGACATATAATTGGAGGGCTCGTAACAAAAGCTATACTCGTCAACTTTCGCAAGTTTGTAGATAATGGATTTTAACACGAAGCGCGCAACATGACAGATCTGATATTGTGAGAGATGAACTATTATCTCGATTAATCGTTGAATGAAATTAAAACAACAAAGAACAGTTAATGTTAATTCTGTACGAGAACAACTTTCATTAATATTTCACAATTTGTTATAATTATAAAACTACATTCCTTCCTTTCTCTTAAAAATGTAATTATAAAATTAATTGATTATAAATTTCGCGTGAATTGTTTTCCTTTATTGCCGTTAACATTAAAGTATACGTAAAAAATATATACTGTAGAAACATTATGCATAATTAATCTAAATTTTTCAGAGTGAAAATGTTTCTTTTTTGCCTATAACAATAAATATGTAATGATAATTTAATTGGTTTGCATACACATTGTAGAAAGATAATTTTATCGATATTGGCTTATTGTATCAAATAGATGTAAAGATATTTTAAGAGATATTTAATTAATAATGCCGTCTTCTAAAAATATTATACTATATCTCAATACGACGAGGATCCTGAACACACAACAGAAGCGTGTAAAATCAGAATTTAAAAATTTGTTGTATCACTGTGCTCCACACAGAATTTCAATTTCAATTCCATTCAGAATCTATACTTCAAACGAAAAGTGTAAGATCTGTAAATGTGACATCAATGCTGAATTTCTGAAGTAAATCGAACGATATTGAAATTAAATTCATCCTAATTGTTGATGAAATCTTGTACAACGGGGTGCGAGAGTGCAATAAAGCCATCTTAAAAACTGAAAGATCATAGAGTGAATGTCATATTGAACAAAAATTTGATTGGGAAAACAAATCGTGCAAAATATTACTTTTTATAGGCAACTGAAAAGATATTGGCGGTATTGAAAAATTATTTACGTTCGCTTTAATTACTCAAAATGTTTCTATTGTTGTTCATTTTCTGTGTATGTTAATATTAACGGCAACTAGGAAAAAGTCATATAAAAAACTTGTGTTTTTCATTGTAACGCGTCTGCTGTTATCGATGCATACAACGTAATGAGTGTTTCGTTAGAAGAAAATTGAAACGTGTCGAGCAGAATTTAAAGATGCTTAGATATTCTTCGAATTTTGTGGACAAGAGTTACGAGCCCCTCGGTTCTTCGTTTCTTCTCGATGTGATTGCAAATTCGTCGGATCTTTCGCGTTCTCGATGGACCTATCCGACGAGTCTATCGTAATTTGAGCTTTTTTTTTTTTTTTAAATCGCTGTTCGATTTTAAATGCACCCGACATAGAGAAAGGAAAAAGAAGAAGAAGAAAAAAAAAAAAATGGATCGCCCGTTTTTTCCTGCGAAGTCGCCGTTGTCAAACTTCTGATTCGCGTAAAAGAATACAGAAAAATTCTTAAGAGAGGGAAAAAGGGAGTTCAGAGCGGCGAGCTTCTTGAAAACTTTTTTCAAATAATAACCCGAAGAAACTCTTTAATATTAAACAAAAAAAAGAAAAAAACGTAAAAAAATAAAAAAAATAAAAATAAAAAAGCATAGGCATTAAGGTACTCTCTCTCTATAACGTAACGTAAACGTGTAAGGGCTGTCATTGTATTAAAATAATGAATTAAACTACGGCAGAACCTACACTATAACAGTACGATAGTAAGCAAAAATAAACCCAAAGAGACGTATACACGACGTGGCCAGGAAGAGTCGTTCGATGACTCCAAAAAAAAAGGGGAGGAAAAAATGAAATAAGAAAATTCTATTTTAATCTCAGAAATTCTTTCTTCTCTTTTATTTTGTTGTTTCTTTTGTTTCTTCTTCGTCTTCGGTTTATGGTCGTCGAAGAGACCACTTCCTTGACACTCGGTATAGTTCAGGAAAATAATTTATAATTAGGGAGCAACCGAATGTGTGCGTGCGTGAAAGTGAAAAAATAAGAAGTAAAAAAAAAAAAAAGAAAAAATAAAAACTAAAAGCAAAAAAACGCGATACGAAGAGATACTACGAATTACGTATGAGAACGTTTGAATTTCGTCTGGTCGCGGTGAGAAAATGACCGATACGAGAGTGGCAGAGTGAGTGGGAGAGTTTGCGAATGGGGAGAATGGACATTTATAAATCTATTATTGTAATAATTATAGAAACAGTGGAGCATAATGTATATGTACGTTTCTTTACTTCCTGCGGTGAGCCAGAGAGCAGTAAGATAGTTCTTAAGAGCACGCGTAATAAAAAGAAAACAAAAGAAAGAGGTACGTCGTATAGCATATATTACGAGATAAAACGAACGGAAAGGGAAATGGTCGAACAGAAATAAACGAGATTCAAAACGCCAACAAACATAAAGCGAATAAATATGTTTGAAAAGAAAAAAAAAAAAAAAAAAAGAATAGAAGATGGAAGAAAAATGAAACAAGAGAGGCAAGGTTCGACGCAATTTTACGACGGAAGGAAAAGTAATTTCATTCCGATATCATCCTATATAAACATATAAAGAAAATATCATGAGCTTTTTGCCAAGCTTTGCGAGGACACAAGGATATTCGTTTGGGATTCTCGTGTCTTCGAGAAACGACGAGAGCATAAGAACGTCGGTGACTATTGTTTCGTTTGCAAGCAGCCGATTGTCATTATACATAATTACAGATTAATTATTCTTACTATTAATTATGATTCACCAGATCACCGCCATCATCGTTATTATTATTATATAATTGATGTGAGTGTGGACAAAAAAAAAAGAAAAATAAAGTGTACGTAGTAGAAGTTCCGTTTAACTTTGCCATCCATCGTTTAGGTTATTCTTCTCGCCGAAACGTTTGCAGTATTTTTTTTTTTTTAGAGATGAATCGAAATCTTGATTTTCAGTGAATTTTCAAAATTTTATGACGTGTCAAAAATTTCGAGATCCAAGAGTTCCATTTTTTTTTTTTTTTTTTGTTTTAACAAGTTCATCTGCTTTTAGTTATTAGAAGTTACAATTTTAACAAATTTTTTTCAGTAAATCGGACCAGTTTTCTTTTATGTACAAGATTATTGTGATGGAACGAAATGAATACATGTTCAATTGGATCATTGGTCAGTCAAATGAAAATAAATTCTTGTACCTTATTTATTTATATGAATTTTTATTTACTTGGGTTTCGAAAGTTTCGTATCTCACGAACTAGAATAAAATTTCTAGGATAAATTTCAAATATCCTATCAGTGATATTTTTCTTTGGATCTCTTTATTACGATATTAATGTTCTCGATGCACGAGTAATTGAAACGTAATTCGTTTATTTGAATACAAAAGAAGGAAATACAGTGGGAAAGGAAATACAACTTAACATAAAATCGACGATATTTTTCGTCTTCCATCGTATGCGAAAAGCCAATTATCTTTTTCCTTAAATTTTTTTTCTTTCAAATACTAACATTTTCTTTCTGAAACTTTCTGTTTCAGTTTTCTTGAAAGACCTGGATCTCCAAACTTTTCCTCGGTTTATTGACATTTTCTTTTTCTGTGCCAAGAATTTCATCACCCTGACTTCTGTCATTGTTAACCAACGATAATTTTACAGCTTCTTCTATGGTAGTTTTCTTTGAAATATCAGTGACTGTTTCAATAATCGAGTTCAATTCGGTTTTTTCATCAACACTCTTGGTGGGATTAACGTCTTTATCATCATTGTCGAAAAACTCTTTTAACAGATCCATGAAAAATTGTCTACTGTTTTCAAGATACTAAAAACGATATTATTTTGTTAATATAAAAATGAAAATTTTTATACAAAAAAGAAAAGATAAGAACGTGAAATTGAAACTACAGTGAACAGCATAACTGATCTAACATCTATAGATTAAATCTATAGATTTTTCATTGCTGTTAGCATTAAAATTACCATACTATAGAAATTAACGTTAATTTAAAGAATTTTTCAAAGTTGCAAGTGTTTTTTTATTTGCCTGCAATAAAGAAATATTCGATGATTCAGTTGTTTTCCGCGTTGTAGAAATGGAATTGTTCTATCGATATTCAAATGGATGATATAGTAGAACATAAAGAATAGTGTATAAAAATGTTTTACAAAACAATTAATTAAAATTAGCTCAAGATATAAAAATTTGTTGTACCAATGTCACTTATACAGAATCTCGACTTCAATTCCATTCAGAATTTGCAAGAAAAGTATAAGAGTACCGATATTGATTTTCGAATTTCTGAAGAGTATCGAAGAACAGTGAATCGAAATTCATTCTGACTATTGTCGAATTATTCTTGTACAATAAATCCATTTTAAAAGCAAAGGAATCGTAGAGCAAGCTAAAATTAAAAAAATTTGATTGATGAAAAACATTATACGAAACTGAATGGATGTGTATTTCTTGTTGCAGCAACTAAAAAACATTTGCTGCATTTCAGCTTCAATTATATCCAAAATGTTTCTATTCTATGTTTATCTTCTGTATATTTTAATTATTAATAATTATTATTAATCAATACTATATTTTAATTTAATAATTACATTATAATTTTTAATATATAATAAATAATATGTATATTTATAATATTGTATTTTAATAGAGTGTGTTTATTGGTTCAGTTAGTGCTCTTCACTGTGATTTCGATTACTAACTTGTTTCTGATTTTTAACAGGGGAAGATTGTTCCAATAGAGGCTTTCCCTTTGTCATCGCTTCTCTGGAGATCTTCTTCAACTTCTCAGCTGCCCTTTTTGCTCTCTCTCTTTGCTCCTCGGTTTTCGGAGCGTTTATACTTTTTAATATTTTATCTTTCAACGCTGCGTCCATTCCAAGATTCTGCAAATGAACGGATAGCTCTTCGTGTGTTTCGAATTCGTCTGTACTTATTGAATTTCCGGGAATCTTTTCGATCAATGATTTTATTTGTTCTTCTTTCAATTGTTCTCCGATCTCCCTTGACGATAGAACGTCATCTTTCTTCTCCTCATTCGGCTCGTTATTCTTCATGAAATCTGGCTCGATTAGAAGCTTTCTTTCACTATTCATTTGATCGACGTGTTTGCAAAATTCTTGGTAGAGGTCCGCGCATATGTTGGGCGAATGTCTTTCGATGCTGTGAGATTGTTTCAACAGCTGGGAAATTGATTCCACTTCTGAAATGAAATTGTTTTTGAAACGTATTGAAAATTTTTCAATATTTCGTCTTAATGTTTAGCTACTAGTTGTTTTATTAAAATACAAAGCGAAGCATTTAAAAATTTTCTATATTTTCCAAGAACACTGATAAGGGAAGATCCTCAATCGAAAAACTTAAAAAATTATAAAATTATAGATATATACATATGTATATGTAATATTACATAATTTTTTTTCTGTCGAAATTCATTCTATTGAACTAAAATTGAACTCCTTGTTAGTTACTTTTATTTTTTTTTATAAGAAACAAAATACGAAAAAATATTAATTTCATACGTTCAAGAGAGCCTATCTAATCTCTTCAACGGTTACTATAAATGATCACTTGCCTGACTGCCGACGACTAAACAATTCCGATTCCTTCATGATCTCTTGATTTTCAGAAATCTTCTTCGATCTTGCGTGAGACTGTTCACTCGAATTGTCCTTAGTTTTCCCAGAAAGGAAATCAGAGTTTACGTTCGTAGCTGTGAAACTTAAGAAATCTTCTTGATTGCACTTTACCTTCCAATTTCCCTCCGAGTTTCTATTTGTTATCAAACTCTCTATACACTTGTCGATCAAGGGTGATTCCTTCTTCGTAAACTTCTTCGCTTCTTTCATAAAATGTCGTCTGCACTTCTCGGACAATGCACTGGTTGTTTTTCGATCGCTCGAGTCTCCTTCCGCATCCATCTCCTCGATTAAATGAGACTTTTTACTGGCCACGTCCAAGTATTCGCAGTCTAGTGGTCTTTTGTGCGATTTGGAAGATTGACATCTTTCAAGACAAGAAGATGTTGCAGCGTCGTTAGGCCTGGTGTCCAAATGTTTGGTATCATTTTGCGCTTCGTCGACAGTCAAACTCTCCTCTTTCCTAATATTTGTATCCACGTTTCCTTGCTCGTTAATTTCATACTTATTAATTACCGTCTTCACAGACTCGCTCTCCGATACCTCGTCATCGTCATCGAACAGGACACTAACAGGATTTGCTTCCAAGATCTCTATACGAACAGACTTGTTCTTAACGGTCTCTCGATCACTCGAGCAACCCGCTGAATCTTCGACAGTCTTCTCTCTTTCTTCTAAATCGAGCAATTCAGTGCTAATCGACTTCGAAAGTTTCCCAGTTTGGTCACTAGTATCATTCCTACGGTTCATCTCGTCGAACAAGGAATCGAACAAACGCGAGGAACGATCCTCGTCGTTGACCTCTTTCTTGGCAGATTTGCGTAATAGCGAAACGTCTTCATTTTTAGGGCAAGGTTTCATATCGCTCAGTAAAATCGTAGGGCACGTTTTGAGGTTCAATAAGTCGTAAACACCTTGCGAAGAGGAAGTTTCCTTCCTTTCGTTAGAATCTTCCTTAACGATCTCGATATTTTCCCGAGTATCCTTTGATTTTTGACTCTCCTCTTCTCTCTTCCTCAGTATCTCTTTCACCTTTAATTTCCTTTCTTTCGTGTTCCACCATTTGAGGCTTTCCCCTTTGTTTCCCGACGACTCCTCGTGTTTTCCCTCGTCGTCAGATTTGATTTCAACGTTGGTCTTCTCTTTCCCGTTCCAGAATCTTTTCATGTCGCCATTTCTCGGAATCAGTTTGCTGTCTTCCATAAATTTGTCCACGTCGGCGCAAAATTCTCTCATGTCCTCTCTGATGCTACTCAATTGACTGGTCAAAGGATGTGGTTCGTTTTTTCTACGATAATTGTCAAGAATATCTGTACAGGCAGGTTTATCGTTTGTGTTCCTCACGATACTCTTTCCCTTCTTGTTTCTGTTCTTATTCGCAGAATCCGTAATGTTGCAAGAAACTGACGAATTCTTGAACAATTTATCTTCAGCTAAAATTGGAACAGATCATTAGGAATTGTCTAGTTTTCCCTCTTGCACGATAATTTACTAACGAGTAATATTACTAAGTTACAGATTTGTTTTACGTTAAATACAGGATAATCGAACGATTTTTTAAATTGCGGATTTCCGTGAAAATTCAGATTTTTGGAAATATAAAACTTCGGTGGAAAAATGATTTCGTACGTTAATGTAGTTTCAAAGAATTTATATAGTTTAGATATTTTCATATTGAAACAGAATCTTCTTTACCTGAACTTTATTTTAATATTATAACAATTAATCACTTAATAGCAAATGTTTTATTGCAGTAGTATAACGATTGGATATTGAAATATTCATAAAATAAAAGTTCGGATAAAGAATGTTTTACTATGTATACTTGCTGTTCAATTTTGTTCTTTAAAATTCAAGAATTTACCGTTCATTTATTTCTTTTGTTACTATGCTTATTATCATGTAAAGAAAGTGTATAAAATAGGGCAGAATATTCAGTAATATTTAGTTACTATGTTTAACTGTTAGTTAACAAAAATATAAATTTTTATCAGACATCCGCAATTTGGCAATTTGTATCTTATCAGACTAGACTGTAAATTTGGATGCGTTTCGCGGAAAATATAAAAATACAGACATACGAATTACTGGAAGTGGAGTGTTATGATGTTTGCCGAAAGCTAGTTTCTTGCGAAAATGCGAAAGATACGAGGATACAAATATCTACGGTCTACGAGTTGTAAAATTTCGCTAATAACGTTAGTGAAAATTCGTACGTGCAAAAGGGCTCGTGTAAGAGAAGCGTGTTTGTAACGTTTTGCTTGTTTCGTCCAAGTGTTTCTTGCCGCGGTAATCATATTTGGAATTGGCGCGCAATTTACTATCGTCGTTCTTCTCCTGCTTACAGCACGGTGGAGTAATTTCGGTCTCGTTGGTCGTCTCCAGGACAAGTTTCTCGTAATGGGCCAGTTCTCTTCCAACGGAACAACCACCTGGTGGATCATCGCTACCTCGTTGATCGTCCAAAATTTTCGTCCCGAACGTTTTCCGTTCTGCGTCACCTGCCACGTATTCCTTCGTCTCTTCCATCTCTTCTATCAATTGTTTGGGCTTCGTATGTGTCGTGACCTTCGAAAAATGTTCAAGAATATTGAACAATTGTTGCACGTAACACGCAGTGAAAGATTATACGAAGTTTCCTATGTTATTAAATGAATTTACTAATATTATTTCAGACAATCATTTCCAAATTTCAACGAACGATTCTCATAAAAGTTTTAAATAAATATTTCCAATGTACTTGGAAATGCATCGCCGCGAAATAAAATAGATTTTTTTCCATGAACTACGGTGCGTGAAGTTACGCGTAGTCCAATAATCACAACTGTCGTGTGTTGTTAGTTGTAATTCCAAGGAAATTTTCACCCAAGTATAAACCTCTCCAAGCTTTCTACGATAAATGTTCAAATGCTTTCACGTTAGTCACTCACTAGTAATTTTTAAAATTATCAGTTCCAATAGGTGTTTTTTTTTTTTTTCGCAAAATGCACAACCGTGTCAGTTATTAGCCAGCCACCTCTGTGTTACGTACCTCTGTTTTCCAGGGTAACAAAATCTCCTCGCCAAGATTGCCGAGGGCTTTTCTTTCATCCTCCGCCATTGGCCTCCTTCCGTCACTTTTCTCCATTGCTTTTTGCCCCGTTCCATCATCCTCCTTCCCGGCGTTCTCCACCACTTCTTCGTCCGATGACGAGGACGCGGAGGAGCTGCCGGAGGATGAGGATCCGCCCGACTTTTTCTTCCTCTCCAGGTTGAGCTTGAACCGTGGATCAGGCCGGCATAAGGGGTTTCGCGTGGTGAATGATCAAATAGTGGATGGGACCGATATTATTCGAAGCACGAATTCTGTATCAGACCTTGACAAAACTAGTTCTTACCAGTTCGTTGCTCGTGCAGACAAGCGTGGTCGTTGTGGCTACTTCTTCGTCCACCTCCTTCGTCTTCTTCTTATCCTCAGCCTCCTTTTCGGACGTCCCGACCGGTTTGTACAGCTTCCTTTTGTTTATCAGGGCTTTCGAGGGCGGGCGCAGGTCCGCAAGTAAATAGAGATCCAACGGATAACAGATTAGATAGGTTTGCAGACTACGGTGGAACGGAGAGTTTCTAACGAGCTTGTCCGGTGACAGCGGTGATATTCGTGTCGTGTGGACCGAGTTCGCTCATTATGGACGAAATTGAGTCTCTCTCTCTCTCTCTCTCTCTCTCTCAGAGACCATGATCAACCTCGTGAATTAAAAATGTGTAGGAAAATGACAATTATTATTTCTTAATTTCCCTTGAAATTTACCATCATTTGCGATATCTTTCTACGAAGATATCACGATAAACGAAGATGTAAACTTGTGTTAATTGAAAAATGGTAAAAATTACGATGGTAATGTTATTTTTGTAGTAATGGTAAAGAAAGATTTATTCATCAGTTAAATGACGATGTTGCTTACTGGAAAAAAAGGTAAATTACACGAAGCGTAAAAATATATATTCTTGTTATCATTATAATTGTAATCAGAATGAGTTTTACGCCTGCTTCACGATGCATGTTGTGATTGTGTAAAATCGTATACATTCGATTCATTTATCTATGTTTTTTTAAAAGTAAACATTGTCAATATTCTGAAAAATTATTTCATTTCACCTAACAAATCGATTGAAAACTACGTAATGTCCAAAATTATTCTTTTCAAATTTGTACGAAATTTGCACAGCCGTGTATCTACACTTTTATGGCTTAAACATCGTCATTTAGTTTTAAAAGAAAGACTGCGAAGATGATGGCCGAGTGTTCAAGGTCCGGAAAGCATCTTTCGTGCAGAAATGAAAAAGTTGGAAAAAAAATCGAGCGCGACCGTTTCGTTGAGGAGCCAAACAAGTCCTATACATCATCTACCTTTCGATTTTTACTCACCTTGCACGCTATCATTGATTTTCTTCTGCTCCGCCTCGATCCAGCGTTTCCTCTCAGCTGCTTCTTCTTCGGGTCCTCCTTGCATCCTGCCTTCGTAACAGTTTCGTTAGCTTGTAACACTACATCGACTCTGATATTAACCTTCTACAGAGTTTCATTCCTTCGTGCAAAATTATTGACAGCGAGATTGACTTTTATTCATTTACAATTTTGAAGCTCGATTCGATTTAAATGAGAAAAATGAAGATTATTTATCAAGTACGAAGATTGTTTAATCGTGACTTACCAAGCTTCTGCACAGGCACGATCTTTTGGGAATACTGGTCTGTCATCTAGATACTTGAGGTTTTTACACTTGAGGATCATAGTTTTACGATACAGTCTGATCTTCTTTAAAATCAGGTTGCCCATCAAAGATACCACACGTAGTTCCTTCATATCACCTAGGATCTATGCGAAAAAAATTCGTTGCTCATTTTTGTAGATTTATCATTTATATAAAGGAAATTTGTAATGTAAATTGCTACAATTGCTAGATTTCTACATTTTTGAAATCTATACATGTAGAAAGATTGGCAATTTATTTCTAGATCTCCAATACAAATATGTTAGATTCCTTTGCACATTCTCATGATTCATATAGAAAAGTTTACAACCTAGTTTCGGAGATCTCTGTTTTTTAACTATTTATGTAAAAACAATTATTTTATTGATTTCTATAATTCTAAAATCTATAGAAGAAAATTTGTGATTTCTTTCTTTTTTAATCTGTATAAAAAGATTGTCAAATTTATTTTTCTATCTTTGGAATCTATATAATCTATATAATGCAATTAATTTCTTCTAGATCATTAACATTCCTTATATTTTACTTATATACACATAAACATTCAACATTTATTTGCTTAATTTCCCCATAATTTATACTATAAAATCTATTCGTCTCATTATTCATAAATCTTGTGCAAGATGTGGCCAATCACAAAATTACAATTTGTAATTTTTGTTTTGAATATTTCCAAAATATATACACTTGAACAATATCTGGACATTTTCTTATTTTTTACAAGATATCTTTCACTTATAAAACTGTAATAAATTTATCACTTATGATTCACAAGATTAGATTAAGAAATTTGTTCTAAATTAACAGAGAAGCTTCCAAGTAACGATATTTACATATTAAACGCATTTACTACTAAATATAATAAATGGTAAAACATATCATTATATATACATATATTTTTTTTTAACAATTAATTTAAATTTATGTTCTATCGATGTAATAAGCACCCGTTCCACTTATTAATTTATCATCCGTTTATGTGCTTCGGTCAAATTTAGATGTCGTTACTGCAAATCAATTAAAGCGTTCGAATACTTGACAGACGATAATGTATATAAAAAGAAAATGAAAGAAATTACTCGGGATCGGTCGCGTTACAAAACACGCGACACCACTTTCGTAAAACATTAAATTACATCACTGGCGTCTCACGAACACCTGAAGCCAGCCGTCGAAGTGACGCCAGAGGCACACGATTAAGGAAACATAACGGACTCACATTAACGACTTCGTCGGTGTCTATCCTGTTGTGAGAAATATCCAGTACCGAGAGGCTGTCCAGCAGTCGGAGATGCTCAATGTCACCGGTATCTTGTAAGTAGTTGTGCGACAGGTTTAGAGTATTCAGGAACTTGAGGCTATCTGAAAGCAGAGGCACGTCAAGGTCAAGGTCATCAAGGATACCAGCGACGACGAATCGAGTCACCGAGATTCTCGATCCTCCGTATAGTGTTGTACGAGAGGTTCAACGTGTCCAGTTTGGTCAGCCACTCGAGATTCTCGATTTTGCTGATCAAATTGTTGTGAATATAGAGACACTTCAACTCGCTCTGATTCTCCAGGTTCGCGATCTCTCGGATACCGTTGTTCTCCAGCCATAGACACCTCAGACCTGTGTACTTCTCTAAGTTCTCGATGAAAGAGAAACCTGGAAAGGAAGACAGTCTCTCGGCGTCGAGAAGGAAATATCGGGATTTTCGAAGATACGTATATTTGTAAAGATTTTCTTCAAGTTGAAACTTAACTAATTCCGATGCGAGGATAATATAATAGAAATTGGAATTCGTTATATATTATACATATTTTCTGCAGGAAGCTTTCAAAAGGATCTTAACTGTAAGTTTTCAGGTGGTCAAATTATAGTTATACAATAATTTTTAATTTAGAATTTTGAAGTGAATGTTTGAAACTAGTCTAAAGTGAATAAATATTTGAAAATATTTTCAAGCAATCATTTGATAATTGTCAATTTAGAACTTTTTGAAGTAAAATAGTTTGATAGTATGTTTTTTACAATTCATTTATAACATTCTTGTGTACGTATAAGGTGAAACTTTTCTCATGATAAGTTTTAGAATAGAGGAACTTTCTGAAAGCATTTTAGAATTGTTTTATTCAATTAAATTTCATTAACTTTTATCACGGGGAATTCAAAGTCTAAAATAAAATCAAACATCTTCAATTACTGTGAACTAATCATTGGAACCAAATCTAGAACCAAAATTCCCAATGCGATTTATTCAATTTAATATTTTTATTTTTATTCAGGAAGCTTTTCAACTGTAGTAACTTTGTTACGATAACGATGCGATAAAGTATAAAACTTTGAAAGCATCTTTTTATTTGGAAATTAATAACAGTTCTCGTATACAACATAGTTTCTTGCATACATTAATGAAAGATCATCTGTATAAAATTAACCTTTATAATGAAGATAGAGCACGTCGTTGAGATGGGGAGTTTGGTAAAGCTTATTTTGCTTGCAGTGCTTCTTCAAGAACTCTTCAGTCATCCTAAAATCAATTACCATTTACTTTACCAAACATAAAATTGCCATATCATAAAATCGTCGATATAAATACATTAACAAATTGCGCTGTCATTGCACTTGTACCTGACACCGTGTTTCTTAGGATCAAAATCATAAACTTTTCCTTTAATGTACGTTCTCTCTTGTTGTTTGTAGTATTGCCAAAAAATCGAGTCCTCCGTGTCTTCCATAATGTCCTGCACGATTCCTTTAATCACTGTTTCTGACGCCGATTTTGTATCACTGATCGTTTCTTCCGATTTATCAACAGCGTCATTAGTTACGATTTTGTCTGCAGTGATATTTTCAAAATTTTGCTCAATTTTCCCCACGATACTATCTTTAGATTCTTGGTCAATTTTTTTTTCGATCGTGTTTGCAAAATTTTGCTCTTTTGCTCCGATATTTTTGAATTTTTGTTCAATTTTTTTTTCTATTTCAGAATTCTGTTCTATTTTGATACTGTTTTTGAAGTTTTCTTTAATCCTTTTTTCAACAGTATCTTTAACGTTAGTTTCTTTAATTTCTTCTTTGATAATATCTTCTAAATTTCGTTCCACTTTCTTTTCGGCAATATTTTTGATGCTTCCTTCAATATGTTTAATATCAATTTCAACATTCTGTTCGACAACTTTTTCAGTGATACTTTCAAAATTTCCGTTCATCTTCTCTTCAATAACGTTCTTAAAATTTTCTTCAATTCTTTCTTCAACAATATCCGTAACATTAATTTTTTTAATTCCTTCCTCAATAATATTTCCCAAATTGTTTTCAATTTTAGACGTAGCTTCGTCTTCAACAGACACTTCAATCTCCACTTTTTCAGAAATATTCTCAAGACATTCTTCCAAAAATTCTACACACCGTTTCTCCTCATATACCTCATTTTGACTATTTTCAAATCGAGAACCTTCAACTATTTTATCTTGCCCGATCGAAGGAATCTCAATACCATCGTTCGAATTTTTATTATCTTCAGTATCCTTCGTTTCCATAAAAAGTTTCTCAATCTTGTTGAATCCTAAATCCTTCCAAATCTCACTTTTCTTATTTTCTCTCTCTTTTTCCCCTTCAACTTTGTCTCGAACGAATTCTTCTCCATTTCTTGCAATAACTTGGAAACATTGTTGCAACGATTCTGCACGACGTTTCTCCTCTTCCTCCGTATCCTTTCGAGCATTGTTAATTTTAAAGCTTTCAGCAACTTGTTCCTTGGTCAAAGGCAACTCGATGTTATCTGTTTCTTTCGATTCGTCCAGACTCTCGTCGGAGTCGCTGTTATATTGTTCAGTAGATTTTGTCTCTGCCATGAGCTTCGCGAACTCGTTAAATTCCATCGACAAATTCTTCAAAGCCTCGTTCTTTCTATTTTCAATCTTTGCTTTGCTTTCGGCGATCCTTTTCAGTTTCTCTTCAACCTCTTCCTCGGTCTTTGGACAATCTGGCTCCGTGATTTCCGCCAGTTTTTCCAAATACTCCTCTGGAGAATTTAATTCCACGAATTTTGTTCCTTTCCCTTGTTGATCGGAGCGAGCATTTTCTGTCAAAATTTTTCTGTGAAAGTTTCCTTCGGTTCTTGGTTCCTCTGTACATGGATCTTTCGTTTCATTTTCACTCGTCGTTGTCTTTTTATCTTTCTCGATAGATTCCTCGTCAATTTCCTCCAGAATCAACGATCCGTTGATCTCTTTATTCGGAAATACCAAACTTCCTTTCTCCAAGGTTGCTTCGAATTCAGGTTCCTTCATACTGTCTCTGAACTTGAAATAAGCAGAGATATTCACATTGGGCGAAGAGTAAACCAGATTTCTCTCATGTTCGTCGCCCGAGTCGCTCGAGAAATCGAAACTGTCCGACATTTTCTCCTCGTTTCTCACTTCTTCGATATCCACGGAATTACCTTCGATGCTCTCTTCATTCTCCGCTATTTTCCCTTCCTCTTCCTTAGTCTGAATCACTTCTGGATCACAGTCGACGACATTATTCCCATTTCTATCATTTTCAGATGGATCGCGATTTATCCCGATCAACGAAACTTTATCAGAGACTATAATGGGATTGTCGTTTGTCATTTCATCGAGATTGTCGAGCTTTCTCGAGCAAGCATCTTCGAACGACCGCTGAAAATCGGAGTTCATGCAATAGCTGTCATTCTCGTCCAAAGTCATCGGCTCGCCTTCCTCAGCATCGTCGAAGATCAATGTGTCGTCCATGTCGCTGTCGCTGTCTTTCTCGGCTTTCGTCGAGTTGTAGTAAGACAGATTTTCGCAAGTTGCGTCGAAGAGCGTGTTACAGTCGACGTACGACAGCCAGTTGCAGTCGTCCTCGTTGTCGACTTCCGGTATGGATTCGAGGGTTGATTTGTTCGCTTGGTCGTCGTTCTGTGATTCGAAGCTCGTTCTCGCGAGAACGTCGAATGACGAGGCGGACAAGATTTCGAAATCCACCGACGAATCTTTTGGTATCTTTAAAGATAAAAAGGAGAATGACTTAATTTGATATTTTCGTAATAAAGCGAAAGAAATGAATTGGCAGCCAATCCCCATCAGGGAATTTTTAATAATTTTAATTCAATGAACTGCAATAATTCTTAGCCGCTTGGTCACTTTTTGATTTTTTAAAAGTATCATTTGCTTAATTAATTAATCAAATTATGACACTCTCTAACGTGTATTGCAGATATATTTTCGTGATTTCAGAAAGATGGTATATTACTGGTATATTACTGTTTTCATAATAAACGAATAATCATTTTAATAATGATTAATAAATAATTTTAATGAAAAAATTTTTTATAATGATATTTTATAACAAAATTTTACGACCACTACAACTCTGAGCCTGTCATGTATATCAATAATAAAACACGAAAGCAGGAATTGAAAATACAATAGTTATGATACATTGCTTCTTAATACGCGTTATTTTAAATAATTAATCGTTATAAGAAACTGAAATATGAATGTACCTACTAATTTCAGTTCTGGAGCTATCATTTTATTAATTTTATATTATTTTAATTCAATAATTCTTGAGACAATTTTATAGAATTTCTATTTTAATTAATTGTTCTGTATTGTTTAAATTTTACATCAGTCGTGGAAAGATTTCTAGAATCTTAATACCAATTTATTCAATTTACCTAATACCGATTTATTCAATTTTTGTCTTATTTTCTGTAAATAATATGTCATTTAATATGACATAAAAGAATGTGCCATTCAATGACTATATTTAAAATAAGGCTTCAAAGATTAAATAAGAAAACGTGGATCTCTTTAAAAGAAATTGTAAAATCGTCGAAAAAAAGAAGTTGAATACATGAAAACAGTAAAACATCAGCTCGTTCATCACTGTATGAAAGTTAACCTTTTCATTGCATCAACTTGTCACAGTTTTCTGCACATTGAATTAAAAGTAACATTAAGGACAAACGATCATAAGAACAGATTCTCACCAGTTTTTTAATTTCTGTTTCTGACAAATTGGTACTACTTGCTGCAACGTCGAGTCTGCCCTCAGCCGAGAGTTTCTTCTCCAAAGTGGTTTGAAAGTCGCACTCTTCTTGCATTTTTACAACGAATCTATCGACGAATCCTGAATACCTGCAATGGAGAAGTGAAAAATCCCACGTAAGTTCTTCGAGTTTGTTAAAAATTTGCGAAAGCGTATTTTGACATGACTTCTTGATAATACGAGAAACTCGCCTTAACAGCGTTTGTTGCCTAGGTTTCGTTTGATCGATATAATTCTTTCGGCGTTTCAAATTGTTTCATCATACTTGGATATAATGATTTGAACATTTACCATTGTTAATTATTCTTCGACTCGTGAATTTTTGAAAAACTTGAACTTTCCAAGAACCTTGATCCTTTTTTTTTATAATATACAAATAATTTAATTATAATATTAAAATGTACCTAATATTAATTTATATTAATATTTATTTAAATTATTGTTGCAATTATCAATATTATTGATATATATTTTCCAGTTTCATTTCACAATAAAGCAACCCAGTTTCTAAATAAATAAGTGATGATTCTTCAATTTGTGTTTTTCAAGTTTCTCAGAAATGTAGTCGCTTTTTTTATAGAGTTTCAAAACATAGTTATATCCAATAATGTCATCGAAAATTACGCTGATATGAAAAACCAAAAAAAATGAAGCACGAGTTATCTGACGTATCGATGAAAAATTATTCCAAATCGATACACAGTCATCAATCTTCACGATGATCAAACAACGATCCAACGATCCACGAATTTCTCGCGAAAGGACCATCGTTTATCTATATAGTTTATAGTATTTTATATCTGAATCTCGTATCTATTCCCCTAACATTTTGTTTTTACTTTTGTTGCGTCTGGATATCCCCAACTCCTCGTCGAGTTGGTACTTGCTTTTCCAGCAGACGATGATGTTCGAGAATGAATGCTATCAACATAATTCAATGGGAAAGGCTGAACGTCGATTTGCTGGCGTCGCGACGAATCCGGATCGATTGAAACGGGAAATCGGCTCGGCCGCGAAGCTTTCAACAAGTCCGACCCGCATCTCTTTTTTTTTTTTTTTTTCTCCCTCTCAAGGCGATTCCCGGTCATCTACTTACCATGTTCACGACGCATTTCGACGTCTTTTGTTTCCCAAACGTTCGCAATGGAGGCTGCCGTCACGTTCAATGAATTTGTAAGATATTTTTGTATATCTTGACTAAAAAAAAGTGGTAACCACGAATATTGGTCTACATTTTGTCTTTAGTTGAAATTGAGTTGAGTCCTTCGCGGTCAATCTGGACCGATGTCTTTGCCCTTTCTGACTTTTAAAAATATTCTGAAAATATTCTTCTCTACACCAAGAGATACCTTAGTGAATCATCTCTACTTTGATGTACAATCAAATATTTGCAGGAATAATTAATAAAAATAAAGGTTCACTTCGAAGAAATTCAAGAGTTTCGAAGGACTAGCATAACGATCCAGATTGACCGCAGAGGATTAACAGTAAATTAACGTTAAATTCGCACAGTATTTTCAAACTCCTTCTAAATTGAGATTAGAATAAAAAGTTTGAACAGTAATTTGTTTAAATACGTTATTATTAACAGCTCGTTTGGTAAGAACTCGTGCCTCTCGAATTTTCTCGATTAATATTAATAATCTCGTCGTGTCTTCAAATCTTTTCATCTTTCAGAGACTCGTCACAGATCACTCTGAAATTGTAATATTCGTTGGAATTTTTCTTGACAACTGTCACTTTTTTTCAATCGCAATGATAATAACAACTCGTTTGTTGTTCTGTTAGAACGTTATCTCGTTGGGCAAGAGAGGAGGAGTAGCCTTAGTTGAATAATCGATTACTTCACTGGATATTTTCCAAAGATGGGAGGTGATGCAGGAAAGTTTCTGTGTGTCATCTCATATACACACGATACATATGAGATTTCGTTCTTCGCGGTGGCAGGTAGATAACTCGCTACAGGGTCGACGGAAACGGGAAATTGCACCACAGCTCCATATTCGAAGTCTTCTCCTCGCAGACGCGCCTTCCTGCGCATTTCTTCTTCTTTTTTTCCCTCCCCCTGTTGCCTGCCCCGTCGCTATCTCGAAACGTGTGGAAATTAGATACTCGGCGTTAGACTATATGCAATCGAACCAGTGACATCTATTCCGGGGACCTTCCTGGAGAAGCGAGCGGATTCTTTATACATTTTTATATCGTCACAACCCGACGAAAACAACGTGTTTTCCATCGATCGCCGCTGTCTGACGCGAGAAATTTTCTTTCACAGCGAGGACCGTCACTGTTAGACAGAGTTTTCCGTCTGAAATCTCACTTTCAATTATTTCTTACGGGAGCGTCCTGAAAGTTTGAATTTTGTTAATGAATTTTGTATCGTTTGTACGTGGATTAGGGAAAGATACAACAAAATTAAATGGATTACAGTTGCTGTCACACGACTTTGCTTGCGTCAAAGATATTTAATTGACGCTTGATCTTTTAATATTTAAAATAAATTTGCATAACAATTCTTGAGGAAGGTTAATACCACTAGATGATGAAAATTTCTTTTGGTCGACAATATGATTGTTCTACGAATATACGATTTTTTATCGTCAGATAAACGAAATGTTACGTTCTACGTTTATTTCAGTATAAATTTTAAAAGAAATTTAAAAATATATATATACATTCTTTTTATAAAAAAAATATATATATACATTCATTAAAAAATGACGCTACATTTATTTCAGTATAAATTTTAAAAGAAATTTAAAAAAACATATATATACATTCTTTTTATAAAAAAAAAATATATATATATACATTCATTAAAAAATTACGCTACATTTATTTCAGTATAAATTTTAAAAGAAATTTAAAAAAACATATATATACATTCTTTTTATAAAAAAAAAATATATATATATACATTCATTAAAAAATTACGCTACATTTATTTCAGTATAAATTTTAAAAGAAATTTAAAAAAACATATATATACATTCTTTTTATAAAAAAAAAATATATACATATATACATTCATTAATATTTTTGTTTCAATCGGGTTAATCGATGAATAGCTCATATATTTTATGAATATATAAAATATTATATATCATGTCGTACATCATGTCGAAATTTATCTAGTGATGCATAATTTTAATAAAACGTAGGAAATGAACGTATTTCTAATTTATAAAAATCACTTTCACTTGTTAACATTATTAAATCTCTCTATCAAAGTCATGCAACGCGAAATAAATTTCAATGCGGTAGACTTCTTGAACCGATTGCAATTTCACATTGATTTAATTGCCATTTTCTCTTTAGAAAAGAGCCTGTGTCTCATCACGAAATGGATAATGTTTTGAATTTTAAAGCTCGTCACTTGACAAGCTTTAAAACGTGTTAAATCTTTGCTACAAAAGCGTTCCTGAAACAGATCGTTTATCATTGTGCATCAGCTTAATAAAAAATGATAAATTGAAGAAATACCTAAATCTGGATAGCCGTATAATCGAAATACGAGTAGTAGATAAAATTTCGCGTTTTTTACCGGGGGAAAAAAAAAAAAAATTGGAAGGAGTCTCGAAATATTTGATTATGTAGCGTGACAACAAAACCCGGAGCTAGCCGGAGAACCCAGATTGTCGTTTCCCGTTCGGAAATGACACGAGAGACTAAATTCCGATAACCGTTAATGACGGTGCATTTATGGTAGATGACGTTTCTGGTGCGTTTCGTGTCTGCTGACATAAAAAGCTGAGAAGATTACAAGGAAGTTACACGTGTACTTGACGCCGCGTAATAGGACACTTGCTTCTAGTGATAGCAACGCGAGTGACACCGAGTTTTTCGATGTATCGATGCATTGCGTAACTTGTCCTTGGCTATAGTCAAAAAATACTTAATCTATTCTTCGAGTGAAAATTATTTGAAATTGAATAGAATCCGCTGTAGAATGTCGATTATTCGAATACTAATTGAAATAGAATGGAAAATTCTTTTTTTTTTCCTCGTGACTAAATAGAACATGGTTTTCAAGATCGAAATTTTTGTCTTTATAATATCGTCCTTGTACGTATTTCCTCTTCTTTTTTTTTAATTTATTGAATATTGGGGTTAAACAGTATAAATTCAAGAAATCTTAATATTTCGTTGTCTGTTGCAGCAAGTTTAAATGGAAAATCATAGTTATTATTATAATTATAAAATATAAAATCATAGTTATTGTTATAATTATAATTATAGTTATAAAATGTTATTGTAATTATAAAACTATGATGAATCTATGAATCCTTTGAGGAGACGTATGAATTTTTCACGATTTTTGGTAATAAAAGCGTCTTTCAAAGAAAATCGATGTCAAGCGATTATCAAACGCTTTGAAACGAGATCAAATTATAATAGTTTTCAAATATCGACAGTTTTTCGTCAGCTTCAGTATCAGTCAGGTTTAGTTATGCTCTTCAGTATATTTTAAAGCGTGAACAAAGATTTTCGTTACGGTAAAGCGATTCAATGACTGGAAAACAATTTTGAATCGTGTCCATTAGCTTTCATGAGCTGGCGCGTGACCGTGACCTCGACGATCAAGCGTCTCGGCATTTCTAAACCGGAGTTCACCTAGCTTTCAATCATTTTTTTTTTTTTTTTTTCTTCCCGATACCGTGATAATGTTTTCGCAACAATGCATGTATATAAGAAACATCTTTGTAATCGGAAGAAACGAATAATTCATTTGAGAATTAGTATAAAATCTCGTTTATCCGCGCCTTGTTTGTACAAACTGTTTAATTCACATCCATCTCTCATTTTTCCAACGTAATTTGTCGCTTAGTGTCAAATCGACGCAGTGGTAAAAAATGATCATTTATTTGAAGTTGCATCAATTTACTGTGTAAAAAAATTAAATAACTAGACTGAAGAGATGAAATGAATGACTCGAATAAAAGGATAAAATTAATAACCGGAATGAAGAGATAAAAACCTTTATTAATAGTAAGTAGACTAAATTTCTATTCAACAGCATACATATTATTTAAACTCTGTAGCTATAGATATACAATATTTATATCGTGATCTTGCATATTTTATAAATCAGATTGACAATATGTATATCAAATCGATCCAAGGGACGGACAAATGTTATGTGTAGACTAATT